CACACACACACACACACACACACACACACACACACACACACAGAGCGGGGCGGCGTTGTGCCGTTACCGTTGGCGCGTCGAGGGTCGGGGGGCGGTTCTTCGGCTACGACGCCGTTCATGTGGCGGGGTTCTCCTTGTGCGCATTGTTGGGCGTGGTGTCCAACGGTCGACTTTTTCGAAATTTATTTTGTCCCTGCCGTGTGAGCAGCGCCAGCCGACTGCTGTTCTCCTCGACATCATCCATTGCCCGACATTGACATGTGCGCGGGAGGGATCTCCAGTCGGTGCAGATCGACAGCTGCTGCGATTCATGGCAGATGTCCTCTGACGGCTTCCGCTCCTGTTACTGGCCACTCTTCTCCTGCTCCTTGTCGTCTTGTTGCGCGCCTGTGTCGCTTTACGGGGTCCTCATGGCAGACGGAGACGACAAGTGACGGCGAACGTGACAATGGAAAGGCGGGAGAGCTCCGCCGGACAACACAGACGTGCGATTGAATTCTCCATTCATGAGCGGCCGGTGTCGGGCCATCGTCCACCCCCATATGACCCCACATTGTACAATCATCTCCCGCCACACCAGCAACCGCTACCACCGGATCCGGAAGAGGAATGGGTGGATGATCTGTCCCACACTCTTCCTCTGGGGAGCGGATCTATGCAGGAGTGGATGGGGAGGCACTACCAGCAAAGGGAAGCAGGGACTAGTCGTCAGTCGTACTTGGCAATGCTGGAGGAGGGTATCGACGGTGGCGATACGAAGATTGTGGACTTGGATTTTGGCTTGTCAAGCAGGACGCCTGGAGTAGGTGTGAACACTGCATCGAACCACGTGGGCGCCACGACCGTCGGGCAAACCTCTGTGGGTCGGGTGGGAGTGGCGGGGGTAGGTGGAAGATCCTCCCGTGTGGGTGGCATGGCAGATGGGTGTCGTCAAGCGCCCTCCATTTGTGGAGGCGTGGGACCAGCTAGCAATCCGCCGAGGGCAGTGTTACCCACCCACTCCGCGATGGCTTCGCCTGCGCTGCGGCAAGGGGCAGCCGCACCGACGGCGAACACCAGCACTTCTCCACTGGAAGAAATGGGGAGGCAGGTGTGGGCGTCCTGTCGCCAACAGATGCGCCGAGCAACCGCTGATAACATAATGAACGGGGTGTCGCAGATGCGTGTGGGGAGCGATGTCGATTCGGACGACTGTCGGAGGGCGAGTGGTGAAGAATCTCCAGATTCCCATTGCGAGGAGGAACCAAAAGATGCGGAAGACCTGGAGATTCGACCCATTGGTGTGCGTGGTGGACGGAGGGGTGGATGCGGACGTCAACAGAAGGCCGCGTCACGTGGAGGTCGAGGAGGGTCCTGTGGGCGAGAAGGGCGGCAAACATCCAACTTGGAGTGTTGAGGAGATGATCAAGCTCGCTCGAGCGAAGCGGGACCAGCAAGCTCATTTCGAAGGAATGCCGCACAACTACGGCCGCATGCGCAACAGGGAATGGAAGCTGCAGGACCTGCAGAAGCGTCTGGTGGAGGTGGGTGTGAAGAGGACGACTGACGACATCAGCAAGAAGTGGGATAACCTCTTCCAACAGTATAAGAAGGTGCAACGATACCAGAACGCGTCCGGGGGAAGAACTTCTTCATCTTGACGTCTGCGTTGAGAACAGAAAAGGGATTCAGCTTCCGAATGGATCAGCGAGTGTACCTTGAGATCGACAACATGTCTCAAGGCAATAAGACCATCTACCCGGATAACCTCGCTGACACGAGCGCCCGGGGAGGAGTGCAGATGTCGGGGGATACTCAACCTCAGCCAATCGTTGCAGGCGAATCCTGTGTCGGGGGAGATGTGGGTGATGGCAACGACGAAGATGGAGGTCGGCGTGGGAGTCTGGGTTCAGTGCAGGCAGCACGGGTGACGCTGGCATGAGAAAGAACATGCGTCAACAAACTTTTGACGCCATCGCCGAAGTGATGGAGAAGCACAATGCATTGATGGCGGACACTGTAAAGGGGGCAAGCAAGCGACAGTGTAGCATCCTGGAGCGGCAGTGCGACATACTCGAGCGCGAGGTCGACGCCCAGAAGCGGCACTACGAGGCGTCCGACGAGGCGAACAGGATGATGTGCACTGCGTTGTTGGAGATCGCTAAAGCAATAAGGGAGAGGTCGTGACGCCGCCTGAAGTCCTGCATCTGTGTACATTCTTCCGCAGACGGTCGTCATGTGAATGCATGTCCTAACGCTACACCCCTCGCTTGTTCTCCGTGGGTGCCGTGGTGATGGCAGTGACTCCGCACTTGCAGTCGTGAAGGGTGCTATTGAAGGCACGGTGTGCGCGGTTTGACAGTTCGTGCAGGTTGACGGGAGCGCCGGGTGTCATTGCTGGGAGTAGTTTTTTTCTTCGCCACGTGTGTGTATATATATATATATATATACATGTATGTATATATGGTAGTTCCTCGAGGCTGGAATTTCCCCGGCTTGGATGGGTGAAATCGACGCTGTCCTTCTCGGAGCGCGCCGTGGCAGGGAAAGGTCACCGCCAACACTATAAAGGTCGGTGCATGTCTGCTGGTTTTCGTATCCTGCGCTTTGTGGGCGTCCATTCCTTGCCACGCCTCGGGGATGTGTTCCAGTGCGCCGGGAGTTGATCATCCTCGCGATCGCCAAACACCACCGCTATCTTCACTTGCGCGTCTCTCTCTTCTTTATCTGTTTGTGGCGTCGTCCGCGACACGCGGCAGACTCACAACACCTTCATTTGTGAGACGTGGGAGAGCGATCGGTAGCACATGGCGCCACGTGGACAGTACCAATTCAAAAGGCAAGAGGGCAGATCCGGCGAAGGCGCTGGAGGGCAAACCGGAAGGGGGCACGTCCCGAAGTCCAAAAAGTTGTGCGGGGTTCACGGATCGGAGGGCGAGATGGGGGGTGAGGGGGGACAGGACGTGTCGCCCATGGATGTCCCTTCCACGGCCACGCCAACGCCCGGGTTCGGGAGAGACGGTGTCAGCAGGGAGCGGATGATAGCACTGGCCAACCTTGGTCTTTTAGGGACTCCACGTGGCGGCGGGAGTGGGACCGTGCGTTCTCAAGGGATTGTCATCAACGACACGACACCGCAAAGGCCTGTAAGTTCAACGTCAACGATCGTTTCCATTGTCGAACGCACGGATAAAGGACAAGTCCCTGTGTCCCCCTTGCGCCACGTGGATCCGTCGAACACGTTGATGCCGGGGCAGACCGGGGGGTCGTCGAGGGTTATCGCATCTTCCGCACAAGCAGGAAGCCCCAGTGTCCATGCCACCGCCACTACTGCGGGAGAAAGGCGAGAAGATCGGAGGGTCGAAGAGGCGGGGAGGAAAGAGGAGAGGAGGGATAAGATTCCGCGGCCAGACTGTGAGGACGACGACTCTCTGAACTTGAGGAAGAAATGAAAGTGTCAGGAGGAAGTGTTGGAGGCGAAATCCAAGCTCTGGGTAGACGGGAAGACGTAATGGGGAAGCGGACATGGTTGCATGATTGCGGACGTCGTGCATGACTGCGTGGACTATTATTGTGCAGTCGTGAACGGTGATGCAGGCGCCACCGCCCCGCATGGCGTCATCCTGTGTAGGCCCCCGTACGAATACGGGCCGTACATACGTATGTGCAGCCGTACGTACGGGCTCATATGGTAGTATGGACCGTACGTACGGAAAAAAATCAAAAAAAAAAAAATCAAAAAAATCTGGAAAACAAATATGTTATGCAAAGAAATAAACTGAAACACTTTTGCCTCAGGGTCATATTGAAATTCGTTACCAAATTTGAGATAATAAAAAAAAATGATTTTTTTTTTTTTTTTTTTTTTTTTCGTACGGGGTTGTTCATATGGCCGAACGGCCGTACGATAAACCCCCCGTATGTCGTACGGGGTGCAACACAGGCGTCATCATGCCAGGCCCCGATGTTCCGCGCGTGCGAATCGAAGATCCTGCGCAACGAGAGTCAGCTCTGCGACGGGCAAGACGGACGGAAAACGTCGCTATGCGCATCATCCACGGGTGGATATTCAGGTCGTCTTCAAGGTCCGATGGTTTCACCCGCACTGAGTCGTATGTCGCTGTCGATTACCCCACCAATCTAGTGAAAGCAGCTTGGCAGAGCGTGGAGTGGTCGAGGGTAGTGCCGCCTAGTGTCGTCTACCACACGCTCGCTCTGAAGATGGGCATTCCATTGTGGTATGCGGGGGCATATATCGAGGATAGGCCCGAAGACGACGACATGGCAGCCCATCAGGAGTCCACGGTGATGCGTTTGGTGTCCTACTTTCACGATGCGTTCCGAGCCGGTGTAGGGCCAAGCCCCGGTAGACTTTCGAGCCTTAGTCGACCCCACTGCGGGTCCCAATTGGCTCGGCCCGTCCACGCTCATGCTCAGGGCGCGGGCCATTCGTCCCAGGGTCACCCCCACCTAGTGCTTTGAGATGGATGGGGGTGGACCATCACGCGAGAGAGCTTTGACATTGGGGATGTAGCTCAACCCTCACGCCCGGTGGTAGTCTCGCTTGGTCATTCCGCAGCGCTGATTTTTTTCGATTCTTGGTTGTGTTCTCAGACAATTGCTCTTTCCAATACGCAGGCAGTCCAAGGGTTCCTTTAAGGTCTCTCTTCTCTTGTACGCAGGCTAAGCGTCATTCTTAGGTCGCGCACCATTTCCCTAAGTGTCGTGATCCTCCGGCGTCATCGGGGTGCGGCGAAGCCATCCTCCCCCTCGCCTCTACACACCCATCGGGTCTCATACTTCTTATTCAACCCTATTGACGCAGACCCCTTAGTCCTTTCGGGGTCCTTACATGCATGCACACACATCTTCACATTTCCCTTGGTAAGATAGCACTCAATTTTCTCATTTACACTCCAAGTTTCAAACGCAAAGGTCATTTCCATGAGTTAGCTTTATGCTGAGGGTCCCATAGCCCCTTTGCCCCTCTTCCCTTTTCCTTTTGATGCTCGATTCCTCCCGGCCCTATCCCGCTCAAGACATCCTTAGCCTTCACTTACCTGCGCAATCCCACACAAAGCAAAGATCCATACAATCCCCCGTTGCGGGTCAACACATAGCCCTTCCCACACGCCTATCTTTTCAAGCTCTTTGGCTGCCTTTGTTCCCTTTCTTTGCACAATCAGACCATCCTCTTCTCATAGTCATGCAGTCGGGGAAATGGTTAAGTCAAACTGACCTTGCTTCAACTTATACTTTCTTCCGGATTCCGCCTCTTTTCCACTCTTTTCAAATGTCCTTTCCTTTGCCTTCCTGGTGGCACAAGGGACCGGCTACCCTTCCCTTGCCCTCTTTCTCCACCAAGTGAGGTCTGATTTCGTTTACCGTTCGCACCCTGGCAATGTAACAAGTGAGGGGAGAAGGGTTAAGCATATGCCAAGTGAGGGGGAGGGAGAGAGGGGACAAGGTGACGGGGGGGGAGAGAGAGAAAGAG